ATATTATAATTTATAATAATAAAATAATAACAAAAACATTAAAAAATTATTGTGATATTATTTTGAGTTATTTTTATAGACCTAGATACAATATAATTACAAAATAATAGCAAAAATATAATAAAAACATTTTGATGTATTAAATGTATTTTTGTATGGTGCATATCACCTAAACTCATCAAATAAAATTAGTGATTTTAAAAAGCTAACTACTTGTTAAAATTGTATGATAATTAAAAATGTAAACTGATAAAATTACACTTTAAGTTCTTCTCTTTCAAATTATCAGATTACTTTTTCTTTATTTAACATATTTTAAAAGTTATTAAAGTTTAAACTTAGCATATTTTTATATATCTTTATATTAACTTATATATAAATGAGAAAATTTCAGAATTATTCTATCATGTGATATTGATTATAACCAATTATATTTATTTATTTGTTATAATAAATTGTGATCAAAATTTTAATTACTAAATAAAGTTAAACTATTGCCTTATTTAGAAGTAATAAATCCTAATTTAGTAATGATCATCATAAAATAAAAATTCGGACTATTGATGAGTTTAGGTGATATGCACCATAGTATTTTAAAATTATTACAAAATCATTTCAAAAAATTGGCCATTTTTAGTAAAGTAATTCCAACCACGAATCACGTGACAGAATACAAACTTCCTAAAAAGGAAATTTTATCTCCCAATAAAATTCAAGTTGCTTCGCACAAAGTTGTACAAGTTTTCAAAAAAGGAAATTTGTTCATCAATTACAGTTAATTTTGTAATCACGTGATATGCATTTAATTCCCAACTACCCAATGGCACCCAGAAAATTCTTCAAACTCAACCAACGTTATGCACTGACACGTGATCAAAGAATTTATAAAACATGACAAATAGAATTTCATCTACTTGAAAAAATATAAGTCCCTCAGATAAATATAAACAGTGAAACTCAGACAGGTGATAAATAAAACAGATCACGTGAACAAAGAATTTTTCTGGGTGCTGTTGGGTTATATTTTAATTCCCCTATTATTATAAATAGTATAAAAAAAAAACCTGACAAAGTTGCTGCGCCATAAATTGTATTTTTTGTGAAGTATAAATTCGATTAGTTAAAATCAAAAATCGAATCTTAAATCGGTATTTGCGAAATGATTAATCGCAATTAATCGATTTTAGAATCGATTCTAATAATGGGAATCGATTCCAATCCCTAGTCCTATCTACTAATATCCTATCTAATGTCCTATCTAATATCCTATCTAATATCTATCTATTATATTTACAAAAGAAATTTACACATCCAAAGATCCGAAGAACTGGTCACCTAAAAAAATGAAAGAAAAAATGAAATGTAAGTAAATAAAAGATTTGTTAAAAACTCACTTCATGCTATCACGCCTAGAATTAATATTTTTTAAAGTTTCAAAATTCATCCTATCCAACAAATCCAATATCTACAAATAACAGAAAATAAATTTTTAAAAAATTAACGTTTCGAAATGAAACTTCGAAACCCTATCCAAAGTCGAAACTTACATATCCGATACCCTGAAATCAAAGCCGATATCTACAAATAAAAGAAAAAAAAAATTAATAAATTTTTTAAAAAATAAAGATTTAAAAAAAATAAAGAAGTTTCGAAATGAAACTTCAAAACACACCTACCCTAAGTTAAAGAACCGAAGCCAACATCTACAAATAAAAGAAAAAAAAGTAAAAAAAATTAGTTTCGAAACAAAACTTCGAAACCTACCTATCCAACATCCAAGAATCTAAACCCGATATCTATAAAATAAAAGAAAAATGGTATTAATTTTTAAAAAAATTAAAGAAGTTTCGAAACGAAACTTCAAAACTCACCAATCCAACATCTAATAATCTAAAACCCGATTTCTATAAAATAAAATAAAAGAAAAAATGTTAATTAATTTTTAAAAAAAATAAAGAAGTTTCGCAATGAAACTTCGAAACCCACCTATCCAACGTGCCGTGCAAGAGCCAAAGCCGATATCTATAAAATAAAAGCCGATACCTACAAAGTAAAAGAAAAAAAAATCAAATAAATTTTAAAAAAAAATGAAGGTTTTAAAGTGTTGAAGCTTCGCTCACCTATCCAACACCCAAAAACTGAAGCCGAAACCTACAAAATAAAAGAAAAAAAAAGGTTAAATAAATTTTTTTAAAAAAATAAAATTTTTAAAGTTCGCTTCCTCACCTATATATCCAAACCCAAGAATCGGAACTGAAGCCTAGTGCTCCGAACGAGTCGATGAGTCTAGTCAATCCGAGTCTAAATTGATACTTGACTCGACTCAGATCAGCTTGATTAATAATATCCTACAAAAAGAAGAGAACGTTTCTTAATTAAAATAAATACACCCGACCCGTACACACCCACTTCCCATTTACTTCTATTCCCGATCACTATCCTGAAAGAAGAGACCGTTCCTAAAGAAATAAGAATTAAGATAGGTAAAGAAAAAAACAATAACGAAAAAAAGAAATATACTAACTTTCCGCGTCTTCACATTCTTAGAAATCGCTGAAATCGCCGTTCCAAGAGAAGAGACCCGTTCCTAAAGAAATAAGAATAAGGTGAAAAAAATAAAAAAAAGAAAAAGAAAAAAAACAAAAAATATACTAACCTTCCGCACTTCTTGCATTCCTATAAGTCTACTGAAAGACTGACCTGACCGTTCAGTCATTGTTTCTTAAAATATAAATGATACTTTTTTCTAATTTTAGTTTAAAATAGTTAAAAATAGTTGATCATATATTAAATTTAATGAACGACACGCCCCATTGTTGAAAAAAAAACGAACGAATTCGTTTCTAAAAGAAATAAAAAAAAGATCAGATTACTGATAATCATTCAGTAGAGTCGATCTTTTCCCGATATGATTTTAGAAATATCAATGACCTATTAAAATTTTCCGATATAGTTTTATAAATAATAACGGATACCAATATACCTATCATGCCATATCGGACATCATTATAATTTATAACCCGATACCTCATCATTCGACCAGTGATACTTCGGACGCTCCAACGGTTCCCGTTTCCTAGTATTTTAATATGCATTGGAAGAAATAAGTTGCGCAAAATATATTGTTTATTTCATGATTTACATTTTATATACATTGTAGCTTGCAATAAATTTATTTATGCTTCACCTAGCGTGATAATGATAATTGTAATGCCAACGAAATGAAGTGAACAATCACCAATAGTTGATTCAAATTTTCTCTATACATTCAGATGTTTAAAGTTGTAAAATTTTTTTTAATCTTGCTTCTTCCTTGTGCAATTTTGGTGATTTATTATCCACAATCTCACTTAGGCCAAAATCAATAAAAAAGTAACGGCGACTTTTTGGCTCATATAGTATATTTCTTGGGGAAATATCGTTGTGTAAGACGCCAAGATTATGTATTGATCTAAGTTGATTGACTATTAACTCTTTCTCCTTTTTTGTGAGTCTTGCTGGATCAATATGACGGGAGTCCTCAATTAACTGTAACGCTAATGCAAAAAGATATCTGTCATAAATGTAACCTTTATAGAATAAACGTGGAATATCACGACCTAATATTAATATAGCAATAGACAAGTTAATAAATATCTAAAAATATTATGAATGAAAAAAAATTGTACCTTGACATTCTTTCAAAATAGAATATATACGAGCTTCATGATTTAGCGTTTTCATCTCCTCTTGTTGCTTATATGCGTCACAAGTCTTCCATGCTACAACTTGATTATTATAATGCCCAGAAAAAACTTTTCCGAAGGACCCACCGCCTATGTACTCGCCTACAGTAGTAATTCCAGTTGCAACTGATTTACTACTGCTCTCTGATGCTCTCTTCCTCTTTCTTCCTGAAGAAACATAATAATCATCATCATCATCATCAGAGGATTCAGAGTCATCAGGGTAGTAAGGGTCGTCATTATCATCTTGATCATGGTAACTAGAGTCAGAATCATCATCATCATCATCAGATGAAATATCAGCATTCACTACACGTCTTAATCTATTGCCGACATTATCATTAATGGCAAGTTGGCTAATATAGTAAACGCATTCGCGTAAAGTTGGATCAGTATCAGTGGATTGAACAACACGAGTAACATACAGGGTGGTTGGAGATGTTTCTTCTCATTTAAGAAAGTACATATCGCTATAATTTGATAAAATGCCATAATGGAGGCCATTACAGGCCATTTGACCAAATATCTGCGATAGGATCCTTTTCTTGAATTTAAAACGTAAATCCGTGATTAGGCGCCGGTCGGCAAGTCGACAGAAATGATAACCAATTAAGTTAAGATTGTGACGCGTTTTATATTCCACAGGCATCTTGGCCACTGTGAAATTATTAGTGCTTAAAACATGATCAGAAGAGCCCAAAAATCCGGGGGATGTAACTCCAAAAATTGCTCCTGGTGGGAATAATGCTTGGACAGGCGCTAAAACATTCAAATAAAAACGATCTTTTACATCTCCTTCAAGTCTGAGAGGGAAATTTATAGCTGGGTATGTATCAAATTGTCCTCCCGGAGGGGGAAATTGTCTACCAGCAGTAGTAAGTCTGACATTTTGATTGAATCCGGTCCATTCTCTCACTATTTCTGGAAACCGTTGGTAAGCAGCTATTGTTGAAGTTGAATTAGAATTTCGGCTTTCAAACGATGGCACTATCACAATAAATATTTTGCCTCATTACTTTGTTTATTTCTTAAAATTTTATAAAAACTAACAATTAAATTGAAATTATTAATACTTATTATTGTAACATAATAAAAATGGAACTTACAAATGTAAATGATGGACGGGATCCATTGGCAATCTGGAACGGCGTGACCTAATATTTGACCTGCTGTTTGAGTCATAATAGAAGACTATTAGAAAAGTAAGAAGAAAACTATTGTCCTTTTATGAAAAATAATCATTATATATACATTAATAATTAACTTCTTGATTCAAATTCCGAATCAGTTTTATTTGATACAATTATGACACTGTGCCCCAAAAAGGTCAGTTTACAATCAGCAAAAAAAAATCATGAAAATCATTCCTTATATATATATTTCCTGGTGGAAAGGTATTACCTTTTTTGCGTACCGCTTATAGTAAATTTTTTTTGGCCGCCAGTATTTATATTTTGTTTACGCAGACGATTATCCATATGGTATAAACTTTGCTTTGTACATACATTTATGTGTGATGTGTATCTGAGAAATATTTTTTATGTAATTCCAGGAATAAAATTATATAGATGATTTGGAATGACTGTATATGGGTCTTCGTAATACCAAACAAACCCTTAAGGCGCATAATTCTTTCTTGAGTTGATCCTGTGCTTGATAAAATTATTCGGATCCTACTCTATGAAAGAATTCTATATAATTTTCATGCTGTTCTCCTTGCACTTCGATTGCAAATCCATATTCTGGATGAATATATCAAGTAATTCTCGAGAGTATTTAGGTGTTTTTAAGAAATCCGGCCAGCAATTTTTCTGAGTAGTTAGTTACGATTTTACGTCCAACACATATGGAGCACCATGAATATCAATTTTTTACATTTTCAAGTGTTGCATTTCATTCATAATCTCTTGCACATTTCCATCTCAAATGAGATGAACCATTAATATATTTATTTGAAATACAATCTCCACCTTTATTAATTGCAACCATCTTAGCAATATCGAGAGTATTCTTACCCTGTCCCATGCAATATGGACACCATAACCTTTTATTTTTTATGCTATCAAATGATGCAGTCCATCTATGTTCTTTAGTACATTTCCATTGCATAGGTAAATAATTATTAGTATATTTATCTGGAATACACATCCCTCCTCATTGTCTGGCAATTTCTTTTTTTTTATTTAACCTTTTTGGCATTTTGCAAATTTTTTTTAAGACCTTTCAATACTTCAAATATGGTTATACATCATTTAGGCAAGAAGTACCCAAGTCATACTATGTTGACCATGAGTTAAGAGATGATTGTAAATCTAGTGTTCATAAAAGTCAAATGGCTATCTGCTTCAAATCTGAAAATTGGTAAAAATTACCAAAGTAGAACTAAGAAAAGTATATTATAATGGATGGGGCAGATGTAACTATAATATTAAGTCTGAATATTTGATGAAGACTCATTGGATAGAGGCATGATCCAAATTCTATCAATCTGGAACCATCTGTAAAAAATGCGGATTACAGATTGATCAGGAATTGACCAGATGGTTCATCAGATATCCGGTGAATCCGATGAATGGATTGAATAGATGGATCAGATATTCGGTGAATCTGATGAACAGATTAAACGGATAGATCATCCTGTGAAATGTTAAATTTTTTATTAATGTTGTGTTAAAGGCTGGACTTTGAGGTAATTGAAGAATGGACTTTAAGGTATGTGAACTGAAAGAGTGTTTCTTTTTGTTAGTTATTTTTCTTTAGAAACTTTTCCTAATGTTTCTTCTTTTTTTAGGATGGACTAAATTTGTTTTTGAGGTATAAATGTGGAACGAATTTTATTTAACTTTTTTTTAAAAGACGTTCACTAATATTTGTTTTTCTATTTTATGGGTGCTAGATTTGAACGAACTGGATTTTGAGGTAATACAGAAAGGGAGAGGTCTTTTTTTTAATTATTTATTTTTAGAAACACTTCCTAATGCTTTTTCTTTCTTTCCAGAACAGACTAACAGACTTGAATGAGCTGAATTTTCAGTCTTTGAGGTAATATTAAAGTAATGTGAATGAAGGATATTTTTTTTATTTAACTTTCTATAAGAACTTTTTATTAATAATTGTTTTTTACTTTATAGACATCAGAACTGGATTTTGAAGTAATGTGGGAAGGTGGAGGCCATATTTTTTTATTATTTTTTTAGAAACATTTTCTAATGTTTCTTTTTTTGATTTTAGGATGCCAGATCTGTATGAACCAGACTTTGAGGTAATGTGGAAGGAGATCTTATTTTTTATTAACTTACTTAAAAACATTTCCTAATGTTTCTTTATTTTAGCGTCAGAATTGAATGAATCAGATTTTTGAGGTAATTTAAGGGTAGAGTGTATTTACGCCACAACATATATACAATAGTAGACTAAAAAATGTAGATCATCACGTGACCACGAAACGATTATGATTTCTCACAAACTACCATATGAATTTTGTTAAATACACATTTAAAAAGAGTATACACATGCACTTCATTTTATTTATTAAAATATTTAATCATTTGCTATTAGTCTTTTTGAGTGTATTTGGACTTTTAAAAGCAAATATGACCAATAATAAAAAAATAAAATGGTATTAATAAAAATTTTATTTGAATAAGTAATGCACAATGATTTTTTGATATAAAATATTCTTTTTTATTATACTATTAGCTTGTAAAGTTTCATAAGTTTAAAGTTGATTTGAAGATATGTTCTCTAGGTGATTCGCAACTTACCATAGGAGATTCGCAACTTAATGACAACTTAATAGTGTAATATTTTGTCATAAATCTTATTTGTACTATACTTTGCTAAAGTTTATTTGAAAGACAGAAACTCTAGCTTTCTAAAGAATACTTTTAAACAGTTTTACATAGAATATTGAGGGAGTTTCTTTATAGTGAAGTAAAAAAAAAATGATTTTTTTTTTTAGCCATATAATCAGCCATGTCAATCCCTCTACCCTTAAAAAAGGATGACTTCAATTATTTATCTTTGAATGTTTTAAACATTTTTTTCTTTGTTTTTAGGGTGCCAGCTCTAGACGAACTTGACTTCGAGATAATGTAGAAGGGAAAGCTGGAAGGAACTTGTTTTTTAATTAATTTCTTAGAAACATTTTCTAATATTTCTTTTATTTTTGAATGTCATAATTGAATAAACTAGAATCTTTGAAGTTAGAGATGCGATCTGTAATTTAAAATTATTAATTGTTTTGTACTGTAATTATCACAAGTAAAGTTCTAATATTTTTTTGTAGTGTTTTTTTTATTGATTGACTTCTCTTTTTTTATATATATATTTTTTCGCTATATTTTATTTTTCAGTTAACCATTTTTTCATTTTTTAGATTTTTCAAACTTCTAGTTCAGCATTTTACAGTAACCTTAACCCTAATCCTAATCCTAACCCTAACCTAACCCTAACTTATCCTAATTCTAATTAACCAAAACTAAAAAAAAACTCTAGCAAATAAGAAGCATACTTATATCAGATTCCTGATCAAATTCAGCCATGTTAAAATTACGATATTAAAGGATAGTAGTGATATTAAAAATAAAAATGAATAAAATGAGTGAAAAAGGTGTATCATATGTTCTTTTTCATGCAATTTTATAAGAGTAAATGAAATATATGAATTAATGATAGAAATAAATGAGTAATGGAATAAATTTGTAAATGAAATAGAAGATGTAAATGAAACAAATGAAATGAAAGAGAAAGAGTGTAAGAAAGGCGTAAGAAAAAGATTTAAAAGCTGATAAATCAATCAGTAGTATAAAAATAATCTAAATATGACACATAATCATCACATGACAAATTACGTAAATCTCAAAATTTTATAAAATTTAATTTTAAAAATTTAAAATTTAAAATTTTATTAAACTGATGGTTATAATAACCAGTGGTTAATCGTAGTTATTACCAAAAAATAAATAGCTAATTTATTTTATTAAAATAATTAAATAATATAAAAAAAAAAGAATTAAATTATTTATTTTTTGATTGTATATAAGCTAAAACCCAACCAAAAGAAAGTAAAAAATCCAACTAATAAGAAAAAATAGAAGGTAAAAACCTGACTAAAAGAAAGTAAAAAAAGAAAAAAGATTAGTTAGTGAAGTAAAATAAGATCCCAGAGACCCAAAGTATCTAAAATACTAAAACTTAGGGTTAGTTAAGGTTAGGATAAGAAGTTAATGTTGAGGTTAGGGTTAGGATTAGGGTTAGGGTTAGAGAATAGCTATCAATTATATACTAATGAAACTTTATTTACACATATATATTTTTTTAAGCTTCCTTTATAATAGTTCTGGTGATAACAATTATGAAGATTACGAAAGTGGATCAGAAAATGAAAATGAAGAACAAGTGTTGAGTATTGGTAAAGAATTTGACTTATGGGAGGAAGTTAATAGATTTTTTGATGAATATATATTATCAAAAGGTTTTGCTATAAGAAAATGCAGAGGAGATTATATTACTTTAGAGAATGGTTCACAATGCCTTGTTAGAAAAACTTACTCATGTACTTTTTCAGGTAATTATAGACCAAATAAGGCAACTGATTTATCAAAGCAGCATTAACGTACTTTAAATTCAATTGGATATCCCTGGAAAGCTAGTTTGAATTGGCTTAAAACATCTTCTGCAATTCATTTAACTTCATATAATGATGATCACAATCATTCATTAAATCCATTAATACACAAAACTTCACCAAAATACTGATGTTTTTCTGAAGAAATAAAGGCTGATATAAAATTTTATATGACATATGGTGGACCTTCAATTGGTGCTAAAATTATTCAAAATTTGCTGCAAGCAAAGTATCTACAATAGTATATACATCCTAAGATAGAGTTCTAAATAGGTCAGGTCAGGTCAGGTTATATCAGGTTATCTGTTTGACCTGACCTGAACTGAAACCTGAAAATTTTCAGGATTTTTATTAATATATCAAAAAAAAATGGTGCAAAACATTTTTTTTGAAAATATTGCGATTCACTTTTTTATATTAAAATCGTACAAAAAGGTGAATCGCAATACCGCAACTAACTTTTTTTATATAAAATCAATATAAAAAAGTGAATTCCGATACCGCAATTCACTTTTTATATATAAAATCAATATAAAAAAGTGAATTCCGATACCGCAATTCACTTTTTATATATATAATCAATATAAAAAAGTGAATCCCAATATCGCAACTCACTTTATTATATAAAATCAATATAAAAAAGTGAATCCTAATATCGCAACTCACTTTTATTGTATAAAATCAATATAAAAAAGTGAATCCTAATATCGCAACTCACTTTTATTATATAAAATCAACATAAAAAGTGAATTGTAATACCATCACTTATATTATATAAAATCATAGTTTCAGGTCAACAGGTCATTCAGGTTATATTGATGTTACAACCTGAACTGATGCTGAATTGCAATTGCTAAACCTGACCTGATAAATTCAGGTCAACCTGTCAGGTTACCTGAATTTGGTCAACCTGTTCAGAACTCTATCCTAAGACACTTTATAATTTTATTCAAGAATGCAAACCTTTAACACCTACTGTATTACAATATGATGCAACAAATTTGCTTAATTTATTGAGAGAATATCAAATTAAAAACCCAGAATGGTATTATCAAGCTCGTTTTGATGAAACAAATGGAAGACTTACTTCAATATTTTGGATGTCTCCAACACAAAAACAACTCTGGTTACGATATCATGATGTTGTAATTAATGATTCAATATACAAAAAAAATCGCTATGATTTGACCTTAAATATTATTGTTTGTATTGACTGTGATAATCATATCAGATTGGTTGCATGTGCTTTAGTTGATGATGAAACTGAAGCAACATTTAAATGGATTTATGAAAATATTATAATTGCTACTAGAAATATTGTGCCATATTCAATATATACTGATGGAGATCCCGCTATGTTTTAAGCTATTAAGAGTGTTTTTGATACAACAGTACATTTTATCTGTATTTATCATATTGATCAAAATATTCAAAAGAAATTAAAAAGTGTTCTTGGATCAAATTTTACTCAATTTTATAAAGTTTTTTATCAAGCACAAAACAGTTTGAATGTTGAAAAGTTTAATTTCTATTGGGAAAAATTGAAAAATAATTATCCATTCTAAATCGAGTATTAGATAAATCAAACTGCATAGGCACTTTGTTATAATCGTGAAATGTTTACTGCTGATATTCAAAGTACTTCACGAGTAGAAGCAATAAATTCTATTATTGCATCTGATACAAATTGAAGTACTGGACTTTGTCAATTATTTAATATTTTAATGGGCCAATGTGATTTGGAAGCAAACAATGTTTTAATTAATTAGCAATTGCAAAAATAACTAAATGTTTCATTACTAACAGTTTATAATACAATATACAAATCAATTGATGAAAAAATTCAGAATTATTTGTTGCCTAATATTCGTATTCTGATTTCTGAAAGTTTCTTATATATAGCTCAACAATTTGATGGCAACCTTGAAGAATATATTAATGTAAGTAACTTTGATAACTTTTTATTTGCTTTTATTTATTAATTACTATATTATTCACTAATTTGTAATCAAATATTTAGTTACAGGGTGAAATTGACAATATAACCAAAGGATATCTTGAAGAAATGTATAAAAAACTGCAAATTAACTTGAAAACATTATTGGAATATGTAGAACAGCAATATATTACATCTTTGTGGATTATTAGACCTATGGTTTCAAATTGGAATCATCATATTTTGATCTTAAATGATGGATCTTTTTTATTCACATGCTTCACAATTATTAACTTCGGAATACCTTGTCGACATTTTTTTTGTTTAATGAGATATATAAGTAATGCACAATTTGCAATAACCTTAATTAATCGTAGATGGTTTAATAATGATAAAGTTTTTGATTCAACAATAGATACTTTAATAACAAAATCAATTAGTATCGTCCAGGAAGAATCTTATATTAATAATCCGATAATACCAAAGTGTCAGATTTTAAGTACATTAAGAGGACAACTTATTGATACAGAACTGGTAAAAAAATTATCAAAACAAAAACAGCAATTTATTGAGGGACATGAGTGTGTAACAAAAGCATTAAATTTAGCAATTAAAACTGATTCTGTTGATGAATTAATTGGGCTATGTAATAGGTTTATGTCTTCTCATATTCATCTTAATATTCAACAAACTAATGGAATATATCAAAATGATCCCAATTATATTCCAAATCCAATTGTATATAAAGTTCGTGGACGTCCACCTAAAAGACTGAAAAGTGCAGTGGAAATTTCTAGAAATAAAAGGCCTTTTAAAGAACTTACGAATATAAATCAAACTGATGAACAAAATGCAGAAACAAGTACAGCTGCAGCTAAAGTAAATCTTCATTGTGAACAGCGAAAATGTAAAAAATGTGGGCAATTAGGTTATTATTAAAAGAATTGTAATAATAATGTTAAGGTTGCTTGCCGAAACTAAAGGGTTTCGGCAGAATGGCATACGCGAAACTGCCGAAACTAGTTTTGTGAAATCATCAAGAAATGCCGAAACTGCGAAACCTATCAAAATCGTGAAACTGCCGTAACTTGCCGAAACTGTTTCGGCATTTCGGCAATACTTTCTATATGATTTAATTAGAGTTTTGGCATTTAAACAATTTATAAGAATAAAGACAATATGATCTGTCTCTTATACACATCTAGATGTGTATAAGAGACAGGGTTTTTGAGGTAATTGAAGAATGGACTTTAAGGTATGTGAACTGAAAGAGTGTTTCTTTTTGTTAGTTATTTTTCTTTAGAAACTTTTCCTAATGTTTCTTCTTTTTTTAGGATGGACTAAATTTGTTTTTGAGGTATAAATGTGGAACGAATTTTATTTAACTTTTTTTTAAAAGACGTTCACTAATATTTGTTTTTCTATTTTATGGGTGCTAGATTTGAACGAACTGGATTTTGAGGTAATACAGAAAGGGAGAGGTCTTTTTTTTAATTATTTATTTTTAGAAACACTTCCTAATGCTTTTTCTTTCTTTCCAGAACAGACTAACAGACTTGAATGAGCTGAATTTTCAGTCTTTGAGGTAATATTGAAGTAATGTGAATGAAGGATATTTTTTTTATTTAACTTTCTATAAGAACTTTTTATTAATAATTGTTTTTTACTTTATAGACATCAGAACTGGATTTTGAAGTAATGTGGGAAGGTGGAGGCCATATTTTTTTATTATTTTTTTAGAAACATTTTCTAATGTTTCTTTTTTTGATTTTAGGATGCCAGATCTGTATGAACCAGACTTTGAGGTAATGTGGAAGGAGATCTTATTTTTTATTAACTTACTTAAAAACATTTCCTAATGTTTCTTTATTTTAGCGTCAGAATTGAATGAACCAGATTTTTGAGGTAATTTAAGGGTAGAGTGTATTTACGCCACAACATATATACAATAGTAGACTAAAAAATGTAGATCATCACGTGACCACGAAACGAGCAAAAGCAGACGAAAAATTTATGATTTCTCACAAACTACCATATGAATTTTGTTAAATACACATTTAAAAAGAGTATACACACGCACTTCATTTTATTTATTAAAATATTTAATCATTTGCTATTAGTCTTTTTGAGTGTATTTGGACTTTTAAAAGCAAATATGACCAATAATAAAAAAATAAAATGGTATTAATAAAAAATTTTATTTGAATAAGTAATGCACAATGATTTTTTGATATAAAATATTCTTTTTTATTATACTATTAGCTTGTAAAGTTTCATAAGTTTAAAGTTGATTTGAAGATATGTTCTCTAGGTGATTCGCAACTTA